GTGGTGGTGATGGTGGTGATGGTGGTGGTGATGGTGGTGGTGATGGTGGTGGTGATGGTGGAGGTGATGGTGGAGGTGATGGTGGTGGTGATGGTGATGGTTGCTGTGGACCACATGGCGACCATTGCTGCTTAACAAAGTTCCAACATTTCAACATTGCAGACAGTTCTCTAGTAGCACCTTTTAACTTTCGCTCTTAAGGATTCTCACTATGTGTTCTGGGAATTTCCTATGTCTTTTCCTTTGGGAAATTTTGTGGGGGCTTTGAAGAATGAAAAATGTATAAAATGACAGCCTCTTTAAGCAAAATAATTCCTAGAAAAAAATTCCCCCCTACTGTGGAACCATATAGCCTGATGATTCTGCACACAGGAATCCCATTGTGCCCTCCTGATTACACCAAGAACAGGGAAGTTAGAGATTTACTAAGGACACACTGGACCCCAAGGATGAAATGCCTACAATCAGATCCAGAGCCTGAGGCCATTAAGGGCCAGAGTTTAGTTAATAAGTACAGAGAAACCAGAACAGTGTAATGGGAAAAGAGTGAGACATGGGGATCTTCCCTCCCAGGAGCGTGTGAGGGGAACAGGCCCGTATAGTAAGACTAAGACACAGCGGGGCACAGTTAGGGGACAGCTCCGTGCAAACGCTGCACCATGCCCCTCAGGGAATGAAAATCGCTCTTAAAATGTAGTGAGTGTCTGGTCCCCAGAAGAAGTCCTTTTCCCAAGGTCAGGCATTTAGTTCAGGACCTCCATTCCTTCAGGGGCTGGAGGAAAGTTCCTACTTGCTAAAAGCGCCATTCTTCTTATCCCTGGCAAGAGGAACTTGTGGCCCTTCCTTGGTATAAGAGGGCTACTGGTGGAGTTACTGAACCTTTGAGAACAATGGGCATTTAGATACTTGCTAAACTTATCACTTTTGTCTCAGGGAAAATGCTGTAATGAAGTTAATGGCCACTTTTGCCCCTGAATCATTGAGTCTGCTTTCAATCTCGCCTGTGACTAAATAAACTATTGCCTTTTTTCAATAAACTGGATGGCAGCCAACCTGATTCACCCTCAGATCTTGTCTGTCTCCCCACCCCCAACCCCCACCCCACCCCCAGAACTCCATATATCCTCTTTGGGACCTGAATTCTGCCAAAGCAGGTCTCCAGCAGGTAGTGGCAATGACGATGATGATGACTTACATTGGCTAAGAGCTCTGTCATCAATCAAGAGGGCCTGGACAGTGCTCTGGTCCCAGCATCAGGTCTGCCACCTACCAGCTCCAACCTTGAGTAGATTACATAAGTTTATCTGTACAATGCACCTGCCTTGCAAAGTTGGGGGGGAGGGACAAATAATAAAACTAGGGAGGCATGCTTGCTAGTGCCTGGGATGGATTATGCACACAGTGGCAGTGGGCTGCTCTTCAGCTGGGCTCTGTCTGCTTCTCCAGGTGAGTGTAAATGGACAACATTTTCTTCACTACCGCTACCGGCTCCCACTGTCACGTGTGGACACCCTGGGCATATTTGGTGACATTTTGGTGAAGGCTGTTGGATTCCTGAATACCAATGTAAGTTCTCTTGGAGCCAAGGTGGCCTCTGACTTCTCCTGATCTAGACAGGTCTGGGGCTTGCTCACTCACCCCAGACTGAGAGAGAGACAGAGGAAGGTCTTCTATGCCCCAGATAACTGAGACAGGGGAAGTGCACAAAGGTGTCAGAAATGAATGGGGTGCAGATGAAGAAAAGGTGGCCACAGTGAGGAAGCCCAGGAGCCGTAGATAAGACTCTTTCCTGTTGGTGGAGTCTGCTTGGCACTGAGGGGGCAAAGGATTTGGTACATCAGGGTCCATGCAAGCTGCAGTTTGATAATGGATCCTATCTACCTGATTAACTTATTCAAAATACAGCCAAATACGTGGTCCAGTGGTAGCGCTGCCCTGGCAAACACAAGGCCCTAGCTTCAATCCCAATACTGCCAAAAAACAGCCCTGGATTGGTGCAGTAAGTCTGAGGTGGGGCCAGGAACAGTAACGTTCAACACACAGCTTTTAAAGGTGTGAGAAGCAGTCAGGGGCATACAGTGGTCCCAACGGCTCGCAGTTCTTTTTTCTTCCCTTACAGCCATTTGTGGAGGGTAACAGAGAGTATCCAGTTGGCTATGTGAGTTTCTTCCTACTATTTTTTATTACATTTATTTTGTGTGTGTGTGTGTGTGTGTGTGTGTGTGAGAATACATGATATGTCCATATGTGTATGATGAGGGAAGCATGCATGTGTGGAGGTCAGAGAACAATTTGTAGAAGTTCCGTCCCCATGTGAGTCCAGGGATGGATATCTGAGTCTTTAGGGAGCATGGCTCGTCAGCCATGCTTAGACGCCAGCTGGCCTCTCTCCTGCCTGCACATGGTTGCACAAGGCCCAGCTGACCCCTTCCCTCACTGATGTGGATACCAGGAATGTGCCTGGCTCCCTTAAGTCCCTGGAGAGCCTAGATTTGTCTCTCCCCTCCTGTCTCCAAGGCAAGCTTGGGAAAATGGGTTGGAGGTATTTGGCTACCTGCAGGGGCCCATGACCCCCATCAGAAGATAACTTTCTATGGAGCTTTAGATCCTCAGATCAACCCTGCAAGATGGCTGTGGTTGGCTTCACAGGACAAAGACGGGAGATGAGACCCATGAGCTTGCCGGACATGTGGGATGGCAGCTCCACTGTCCTTCCAACTCTTCCCATTACTCACAGATGGGGTGGGGGGTAATCTCAAGAGTCAAAGGATCCTCCACCGGGAGCCCAATCACTCACCTGCTGCTAGGAAAGGCACAATCTCTATGTGTCTCCCAAAGCAAATACAAGCAAAGTAGGAAGACCTCCTTGCCCAGGCAGATGCTAACAACGCCCCACCCCCCTTTCTCTCCTTCAGCCCTTCCTGCTGTCTAGCCCCAGGCTGGTAAGTGAGCCTCGCTCTAGGTCTCTCCTGGAGGTAGAGTCCCATTTCAGCTCCCTGACTTCCTGCTTTCCCTTTCTTTGTGGAGAACTTCAGCAGTGGGAGGGTGAGGCAGCTCCGGGCTGAACTCCAGTTTCATGGGCCCTCCTCACTTACTCTGCACATGGGTATTTAATACTCCCTGTGACTGGCCCAGTGCCAAGGCTAGGAGGTCCCTCCGGGCCCAGACCTCCAGTTGCTCATAGGTGGCAGTGACAAACCACTGCATGCCTGCTGCATACAGTTCAGAGCACATCTGTGGAAGAAGGCACCAGGACACTGGGCACAGCCTGGAGGGGCCTGAGCCAGCTCTCAGCAGGTCTGCCGCAGGTGTAAGCAGGACTGAGTCTCCTAGCTGCAAGCCTGTAGACTCACCTGCCCTGGCGTTCCTGGGTCCCTGAGGGTAGCCTGCTGGTGAGGGACCCTGACACCGCTCTGATCACCATCTTAGTCATTTTCTGTCTGTCAGGAGGTGCCCTGCTCACGCACTCTTCCTCGGGGTCTCTGGCCCGGGCAAGTCATTGTAGTTCGAGGATTGGTCTTACAAGAGCCGAAAGAGTAAGTATTTAATTTTAAGAAGAAGAAAGAGACAGGCGGTGGTGGCACACGCCTTTAATCCCAGCACTCAGGAGGCAAAGCCAGGTGGATCTTTGTGAGTTCAAGGCCAGCCTGGGCTACAAAGTGAGTTCCAGGAAAGGCGCAAAGCTACACAGAGAAACCCTGTCTCCAAAACAAAAACGATAAAGAAAGGAATGGAGGGAGGCAGGCAGGCTGGCCTCACGGTTAAGTTTCCAGCACCACCATTTTGCCCTGTGTTACAGCACAGCAAAGATGTGAGTTAGCCCAGACTGTGACTAGAGTTGGAGTTGGCCCAGATATGGGTGCTGCTTCCCTGTGGAGTGAACTAGCTTCACATCACAAGTCCCAGAAAAGAGCCTTTGCAGTTGAGACCCGAATAGGAGATATGGCCTCCTACATTGTCACAATGCTTGGTTTAGGAAACAAGCTACCCTAGAAAGAAAGTGTTCGGTAGTGCTTGGAAGCCAGAACCTAGAGGCAGTTCGAAAATGGATGCTTCCTGGCTTCTTCTCCAGTGGGTGTTCAAACCCTGACCTGTAGCTTAGGTCCATTTAGACTAGAGGTTTCCGTGTCCCCTAATGTGACCCTGACCCCATCCAGCAGAGCCCTGGACTTGGTAAGAGATTCTCCTAGATGCCCATCAAAACTCTGGAGCTAGAGAGATGGCACAGCATTTAGAAGCACTCCCAACACAAATGTGAGGGCTGGAGTTCAGATGCCAGCACCCCTGGAACAAGCCAGGGACACGCATAGCACCTCTGGAGACAGACAGGAGTGCTGTGACTTCCTGACCTCTAGCCTCACTGAGAAGCTGGAGCTCCAAGCTCAGGGAGGGAGCCTGTTTCAAAGAAATAGCATAAAGAAATAAAGGAGGACACCTGACACTCTCCTCTAGCGCGCGCGCGCGCACGCACACACACACACACACACACACAAAGATGTAGATGCTGTGTATGTAATAATACTATCTAAGCAAATAATATCATTTCCATACTTATTTATTTTTCTACACAAGCAACCTACATGTTCTTTCATTTAATTCTAACAGCCCAAGATGGGAACAGCATTCTTATCCTCCCTAATTTATGAAGTGGCTTGTCCAAGGCTGAAGCTCTAAAGTCAGAGCATAAACCCTGCAGCCTGGTCCTTACCACTGAGCTCTTGCAAAAGCATTAAGCCACAACATGACACATAACAATAAATGTTAGCTGCTGCTGTGATCACAGCTATCCCCATTTTCGGGGCAATAAACTGAGGCTCCAAAGAGGTAATTACTCCGCCCCCATAGTCTTCCAGTCAGGGATTCAAGTATGATACTCACGTGCTGTCTATGCCTCTGTGCTGTTATGTGTCCAAGTGTTCTGCCCAGAGCCTGACACAGAAACTTAATTCTTGGAAGCTATCTAATCCTCCAGTGGCTCTCCTGCCTCCAGCCTTCTCCTTCAGAGACACGACAGCCTGTAGGCAACAGAGGCTGATCCACTTCTCTGCCTCCTTCCTGTAGTTTCACCCTGAGCCTGAGGGATGGGGCCACCCATGTTCCTGTGACACTCAGAGCTTCCTTCACAGACAGAACACTGGCCTGGGTCTCCTCCTGGGGACGAAAGAAGCTGATCTCAGCCCCCTTCCTCTTTTACCCCCAGCGTTTCTTTGAGGTAGGTCTGAGCCAAGTCATCACATCTCTCCTTGAGCCTATTCCCATAGTAATCTGGACTGTGGGCTGGATCTTGGGATAGAGGAGCAAGCCAATACCCTGGGGCTAGGTACCCAGAGCCAGCTCCACAGAGAGAACGTCCAAACATTGGCCTTCGGTCCTCTATGCTGATGCCAGAGATGCTGGGCCCAGAAACATAGGCATGGTGAATGCAGATGGGCCAAGCATCAGTTGTCTTTCAAAGCTCCCCTAAGATTCTAAAGGCCAGGTGTGATAGAGCACACCTGTAATCCCAGCCCTTGGAAAGTGGAGGCAGAAGAATCAGGAGTCCAAGACCAGCCTCAGCTACATAGGAAGCTGGAGGCCAACCTGAGCTACATGAGACTTGATCTCAAGCTCCCTTTATGGATCTAGTGTGTAGCCAGGGTTGAGAGCATTTCCCGGGGGAAAGCAGCATTGCAGATGGTGAACTTTAACCCCTGAACCTGACTGTCTCTGAGCATTGTGTCCCCTCAGTGGAGGGGGATCTCTATAGTGGTGCACCAGGGAGGGTCTGTCTGGAAGCCCACCACCCACTCAAGCTATTCTTACCAGGTACTGCTCCTGTGCCAGGAGGGAGGGCTGAAGCTGGCACTCAATGGGCAGGGGCTGGGGGCCACCAGCCTGGACCAGAAAGCCCTGGAGCAGCTACGGGAGCTCAGGATCAGTGGAAGTGTCCATCTCTACTGTGTCCACTACTAAGGAGGGCCCCAAGGGCACCCCAATCAGAGAAGAGGAAGGGCAGCTACAGCCAGGGCTCCACAGTACAGCCTCACCCTGCCGTCCTCACTGGACCACTGACCTGTCATCACTGTGCAGGCCTAGTTCACATCACAAGCTCGAGTCTGCAAGAGCATCAGGGCCCCATGGCTAGCGAAGGCTTACAGCTCTGTGCCTCCTCTATCAGGAGCTTGGTGGCTCTATCTTCCTAGACTATACTCAGGGGGGACAAATGTTATAACCTCACAAAGACACACACGCGCACACACACTTATTGCATTTTAATCAATTCTGAAAACAAGGGCCCAGGTCAGTGTGGTGTCTCTGCACTCCTCTTCAGCATCCAAACTCTGTCTTGGCCCTCATTCCACCACTCCATGGGGCCATGTGGCTGAAACCCTATCCTGGCCCAGCCACTGAGAAGGCAAATAGAGTATGAGAAGATGAGCCCCAGGCCTATGATCAACACATACCGTCTACACTCACATTTCCATCTATACTTGAAGTCTTTGCCCAAAGTGACAAACACCACAGTTGCTTGCATAGTTTTGGCCAAAGCAAAATAGCCACATCCCAGAAAAACACACTGATAATGGGACCACATTTTAGGTACCCAACCATGTAAACAACAGTAATCTCTCCTAAGATTATAATATAGTCTAGGTGGGTCAGAGACAATGCCATCTATGTTTGTATAATATACTCCGTGATGTTCACACAGTGGCAAGATGGTCGAATGATGAATTTCTCAGAATTTCTCCCTGTCATAAAATGATACATGACTGTATTTAGCAGAGCAAGTAGACCAGGAAAAAAAGGAAGACTGTGGAGGGTTTGATTTGGTCTACTCCTGGAAGTAAAATCTGGGTTCACCTCAGAGTGGACTTCCAACTTGATCTCTTGGAAATGTTTCTGTAATCCCATCTGCATGCCCATAGCTGTATCAAGTCACTGGGTGGAGGATGCTGATGAAGGATTCGCCATTTATAACTTTATACTCTAAGCAGAGAGCCATTTTCTTCCCTCATCCATGTACCAAGATTGAGCATACATCTATCATGAAAAAAAAAAAAAACTCAATAAATACCAGGGGGAGGAGCTTTTACTGCCAATGTGCCTTTATCATAATCCAGGGAAACTAGAAGTCGGAGAAAAAGATGGCTGGAAGATAACTCTTAGACACCAAGGCCCTGGATTCTGGGAAGAATCTGGGTCAAAGAAGAGATGGCAGGTTGGTAGGTTGAGGTAGAGAGTGTGCAGCTTTCATGGCAAAAAACAAAGGGAGGGCAACAAGCCACTTAGCCAGGAGCAAAGCCTGTGGCTGCTTACATACCTTGACGGCTTTCTTACAGCTTTAAAGTAGACCCTAAAACTCTGTAGAGAATTTCTTTATTCTCCATACAACTTTTCCTCAACTTTCCTCAGCCCTTTATTATATACCACGGTATTTTTTTTTAATAAACTTATTAAGGCCTGAAGAGATGGCTCAGCAATAAAGAGCACTAGCTGCTTCTCCAGTGGACCCGGGTACAATTCTCAGCATCCACATGGCAACTCACACCTATCAGTAACTCCAGTTCCAGAAGATCTGATGCCCTCTTCTGGCCTCCACAGACACTGCATAAATGTGGCACACAGACATACACAGGCAAAACACCCATATAGAAAAGAAAAATTAGCCAGGGAGGCAAAGGCAGGCAGATCTCTGAGTTCAAGGCCAGCCTGGTCTACAGAGCAAGTTCCAGACAGCCAGGGCTATACAGAGAAACTCTGTCTCAACCTATGCCAAAAAAAATTTTTTTAAATAAACTTGTCAGTTCCCACACATATATAATTCATGATTTGCATTAGCACCTCAGCAGCACTTATTAATATAATCATTTTTACTTATTTAATCTACTAATGAAATAAACTATATTGAGAGAATTCTAATATACTGTCTTAAAAGTTTTGGAGTGAAATTCATATGATGTTGATGAATCTTAATAAATACATTGTGTATTTTATTCACTAATATGTATTGTTTTGTATTTATAATTGGCCTGTCATTTTACTTATTCATATGTATTAGTGGCTTTTCTATTATTGTGATAAACACCGTAACCAAGACAACCTATAGAAGACAGGGTTTATTTGGACTTACGGTTCTAAAGGGGTGAGTTTGTCGTGGCAGGAAACGGCAGGCATGATGGCTAACGTAGCAGCAAGATGAGAGCTCCCATCCTGAACTATGCAAGCAGGTAAAAGGGAGAGCAAATTCAAAATGACAGGAGTCTTTAAACTCCCAAAGCCGTCCCCCAGCCACATGCTTCCTCCAACAAGGCCACACCTCCTAAGCCCCCCAAACAGCGTCACCCACAAAGGACCAAGTATTCAAACATCCAGACTATGGGGGATATTCTCATTCAAACCACCAAACAACGCACGTGTTAGACTTTTCACGGCTGTGACAATTTAAGAAACAATTTAGGGAGAGAAGAATTTATATTGCCCCAGTTTTAGAGTTTTCCACACATCGTGGTAAAGAGCACATGGGGGGGGACAGCTGCTCACATCATGACAGCCAGGACCCAGGAGGGGAGGATGGGGTGTGCCCACACTAGCTAGCTTGATTTTTTTCTTTTTCCTCTGTGGCGGCCAGCCTATCAGTGCCTACATTCAGGTCAGGCCTTTCATGCTTAGTGAATCCTCAGACATGTGTGGAAGCAGGCTTTACTTATCTTCCCAAGGCACCCCAACAGAGTATGAAGGAAGCTGAAATACTCATAAGTTGACACAAAAGCAGTAGCAGCTGGTAGATACTACCTTGCCTTCCAGATGGAGGCAGTAAATCCTCTGGAACCTCTCATGACAGCATCTGCAGTACCCAGACCGCTCCCTTCTATAAACGCCTAACTCCAGAGTTTGTCTTTAGAAGGCGTTCATGGAAAATGGCACTTGCTGTGGAAAAGTTCATTTTCCCTGCTGGACTGGTCTTTGAGACCCAGGACGTCCGTGAAGGCCCTAGTCCTGCAGGGTCAGGTTCACCCTGTGTCTGGTGTAGCAGAGGTACTTGAGGACTTCCATGAGGTAATGAACTATGGGGTATTCAGACTCAGCTAAAAGAGGAACACCACCACCCCCAATCCCACTCAGCTCTGTAATCCTGTCTCTCCTATTTCCTTCAACACATTTGTACTCCCATAAAAGTGCAAAGTAGCCAGTCAGAGTGGCAGAGGTAGGTGGATCTCTGTGATCCTTGTCTACATAGTGAGTTCCAGCCAGGGCTGCAGAGAAAGAAAGACCCTATCTCAAAGAAAGAAAAATGTAACACAAAATACTGAAAGTGTAGTGTAAGGCCGAAGTGATGGCTCAGTGGTCAGAAGAGGTTCCTGATCTTGCAGAGATCCCAGCACCCATGTTGGGCAGCTCACAGACACCTGTAACTCTAGTCCCAGGGGATCTAATGCCTCTGGCCTCCATGAACAAATACACAAATGTACACAGAACCCCAACAGAAGCACACACATATACGTAATATAAAAATAAATCTTAAGGAAATAAAAGCGCAGTGCAGCTTTAGCAATCTGAACCCTGAAACCCCTTTCTATCAGCCTACAACCCCTGATTCACAGTGGTTCAAAGGACAAACAGCCTGAACTAGTGGGGTGCAGCTCAGGCCCTCCCAACACTGGACTAGGGCAGGGAGTAAAATCTGGACTCTGAATGGACTTCGGACAATTATCTCTTGATAGTGCTTCTGTACTCTTCTTGATATTCCCGGGGCTGTTTCTGGTCACTGGGTAGAAGACACTGATAAAGGATTCACTGAGGTCAGCTCAGAGCAGTGTGAGGAATCTGCTGCCTCAGGGTGAGAGACACAGTCTCACATCCTAGGGGCAGGACATTTCAGAGCATGAAAAATCTGATAATGTTTTTGTGGGCCCAGTACTAATTGCTAAATGGTGAGTTTCTTCCTTAAAAATTGGATAGGATGGACTGGAGAGGTGGCTCCGTAGTTAAAGATATGTACTGCTTTTTCAGAGGACCTGGATTTGTTTCCCAGCACCCACGTCAGGCAGCTCACTACTGTCTATAACTCCAGTTCCAGGGGATCTGATGTCTTTGAACCTCAGCAGACACCTGCACACATGAGGTGCATGTAAACTCACAGGCACACACATACACATAAATAAGTCAGCCCCTTTTTTTGTTGCAAAGGAGTTTCAATTATGTAATATCTAAATAATAAGTACTGAAACCAAAACACACATGTGTGCAAAGGTGAACAAGTGGCGTGTGTTACCATTGTTGCTTGTGATGGTGGAAATTGTTTATATGCCAACAAAAGAAGAAAGAATATGTAGATTTTGATTAATGTCATTGAGCCACTAAAATAAGTAATGTTATAGTTTCTTATGCAGAGAGCAATTTTGACCCTTCCCGTTTGCTTTGTTCTCTGGGCATCCCCAGCTGGTCTCTTTCCTTGAGACTTTTTAGAAGAAAGAGTCTTGTGCATTTGATTAAAAACAAATGTCTTAGGGTTTCTATTGCTGGGAAGAGACACCATGACCACAGCAACTCTTATAAGGAAAACGTTTAGTTGGGGTGGCTCACTTACAGTTTCAGAGGCGCGGTCCATTATCATCATGGGGGTGGGGAGTGGCGTGCAAGCAGCCATGGTACTGGCTACATCTTGACCAGAAGGCAACAGGAAGTGAACTGTGACACTGGGAGGTGTCCTGAGCATAGGAAACCTCAAAGCCCACCCCCACAGTGACACACTTCCTCCAACAAAGCCACACCTCCTAACAGTGCCACTCCTTATGAGTTTATAGGAGTCAGTTACATTCAAACTATCACAAGTTTTACTGGATCAGGGCTGTTGCTCATTTGGCAAGGTGCTTGCCTAGTATGTATGAAGCCCTTGTTCCATCCCCCCAAAACTAAGCATGGGGGCACATACCTGTAACCCCAGTGTTTGAGAGGTGGAAGTAGGAGGCTCAGAAGTTATTAAAGGTCATCCTCACTACATAGTGAATTGGAGGCCAGCCTGAACTACATGAAAATCTACCAAAAACAAACAAACAAACAAACAAACAAACCTCTGTTTCTCTGGTCCACATAGGAGCTATCCCCAAAAGAAACTCAGTTTCAACCCCTTTCAAAATGCCGTGTACAAGGAATGGAGAGAGAGCTCAGAAGTTAAGAGCACTTACTGCTCTTGCAGAGAAGCTGAGTTTGTTTCCCAGCACCCATGTGTGTTGGGGAAGCTGTCACAACCCTCTGTGACTCCAGTCCTAGGGGTTCTGACACCCTGTAGGTATGTTGCTATGACACACAGAGGCAAGTCAGAGGACAACCTTTGGGAGTCAGTGTTCTCCTTCCACAGTGTAGGTCCCTGCTGTGTATCAAAACTTTTCCTGAGGAGACACTGCACACATGTCTACTCACCCCAGATAAGGAGCCCACAACAGACACTACTAAAGTCCAGCTTAGTGAACCAATGAGTTCCATTGGGGTAACAGAAATATAGGTGAGGGGTTACTTACTATAGTAGAATATTATCGTAAGGTGTGTTGCTTTTGTTTATGTTGCATTTATTTAACTCTGTGAAGCTCTGTTACTGTGCCTGTCTAAAACACCTGATGGTCTAATGAAGAACTGGACAAGGCAGGAGAAAGGATGGGTGGGCCTGGCAGGCAGATAGATAGATAGATAGATAGATAGATAGATAGATAGATAGATAGATAGATAGATAGATAGATAGAGAGATATAGATATGTATAGATGTGTATAGATATATATCTGCTGTGTACATATATCATATATATATATGAAGAAAATATATATATATGAAGAAAACTCTGAGGAGGGATCAAGGAGCCAGAGAAGGAGGAGGACTCCACACACCAGCCACCTAGCTACACAGCAAGCCACGGAGTAAGAGTAAGACTTACAGAAATAAGAAAACCGGAAAAGCCCAGAGGCAAACAGTAGATGGAATAAGTTAAGGACAGCTAGCAAGAAAGAAGCCAAGCTAAGGCCGGGCATTCACAAGTAAGAAGGAGCCTCTGTGTGTGATTTCCTTGGGAGCTGAGTGGCAGGCCCCCCAAAAAGAGCAAAAACAACAAGTGAGAGGAGCAGAAATGGCTCAGTAGCAGCTGCATCACCAAGGCCCACTCCTGCATGGGTGACGGCTCACAAAGATGGGAACCTGGAGCACACGGCACAGCCTGCAGGCAGCTCACTAGACTGGAGAGTGTCCTTTCCAGGTGACTCGGCTGCTCTAAACCTCTTCTAAACAGTTTGGCTGGTTTCTACTTCTTCCAGGAAGCTGTTCTGGTCTCAGAGTCTTCTCTTAAGCTTCACTTGTCTGAATCACTTTGCACCTTTGCTTATCTGAGTGACTCTCAACAGCTTTATTGCTTACTCTGGGAGGAAAGGGCCTAGTGAATCTGATCAGTTTCAGGGACTTCCTGAAGCTATTTTTAATGATTTATTTGTTTTTCCTTTATGTGTATTGGTGTTTTGCCTGCATATATGTCTGTGTGAGGGTGTCAGATGCTCTGGA